ATCATGCGAGTTGTCTGGCTATAGCAATACATCAACTAAGCCATAACAGTTTTTATTGTGTGGCAAGTTGCACCATCTTGCATAAATATAAGATTTTTGGCATTATTTTAAAATTTTTTTGTCAATTTTTGACATTTTCGGCTGGACATCAATCCCTCTTCTTTTAGCCTTTTACAAATGGTCTGGTCTGACACAACAATTACAGCTTCATGGATAAGCTTAGTGGCTTTTTTTCTCTTTTCCAGGCAGATATTTCTGATTATACTGTCCGCTCTTGGTGTTTTCTTGCGTTTAGCAGGTGGTCTCCTTGAACCAAACTCTTCCCTTGTATGAATTCTTTTTCTTACTTGCATTACGGTTTGGTAAGAAACCTTTTGCGTTGGGTGAGAAACCTTTGGTAAAAAACCTTTGTGCTATTTTTCATTAAGAATAATTTGTATTTTGTAAAAGACATGTATATCAATTTTTGTTACTATGATATTAATAACAATGTATAATGTAGGTTGTTGACCAATGGTTTATAATCAAAATTTAATATGGCTGACGGTAAAGGTAAAGAGAAATTTAAAGGAACAAACATTAGGTATTTACTTGTAAGTTAAGTGTAAAGTTATATATTTTTAAAAATCACAGTTCGTTTTTTTAATGCTATTTTATTTTTAACTTTTTTATGTATTTGATGAAAATTACTCAGGCAATTCCTTTTTTATAGAGAGAGTTTTGTCAATTAAAGTGACTGCTACAGTTGCTGAAATAAGAAAAGGAATAATGAGTTTATTAAAATACGCACTCGACAGATCAAATGGTGGTGGTCGGCGCGTAAAAGGCGATTAACCCGATGTATAACATTCATACTTTTTCCTAGTTGTTCTGGAATTATTGATAATAGTTATTATTGATAAATTGATAAATATAATACTGATAAATAAAACTTTTTTTTTTCAAACATTTTATTTTATTTGCATTGTATATAAAGTCCGTTGAAACAATTTAGTTGTATCTGATTAATTTACGTGAAATATAATATCCTCTGCGCAAATTATTGCTTTTTTATTGTGTTAATTTATTGCAATTAAAGTTGAGAAAAATTTTTAGTTAATTGGTTTTAACCAAAATAAAAAACAAAAATCAACGTTGAATTTACGTTGTTTCAACGTTGTTTTAACGTCTTATCAACTACGTATCAATCGAATATATCACCTATTCAAAGTTGAAATATGGTTGATATGTAGTCGATAAGACGTTAGATCAACGTTGAAACGACGTAATCATCGACGTTGTTTCAACGTCGTAGTTTTCGACGTCGGATTTTATTTCCAATTCAACCAAATTTCAACGTTGTTTCAACGTGGCTTATGGTCGGTTTGCGACGTTGTTTCAACGTTATTTCAACGTCATTGTGCCGGCTGGGTAGTATTCCATCTGTAAACCTTTAAAATTTTGTTTTTAATTTTAAAAAAAAATCATGTGTTTAAATCTTTTTTTATTTATTTTTGAAATGTTTTAATTAATAAACAACAATAAAACACATTATATAACTTAATGTATAGATGTAATAAATTCATATCAGCCAATCATATCATTGATTTTTGCTTTAAAATGGGTAATTTAAAAACGACAACTGTGAATAATAAAGTTCTTCACAAAATGAAGTTCCACGGCGATTTTTTTGGCCTTAAAAATTTCCATAGCATTATTTTGAGAAATACTAAATTTGGTTTGCAATTTTTTAATTTTTATGAAAAGTTGCAAAAAATTACCATCTTTATCATTGAATTAGGGCTATAGATATATATTTATGTATTTTTGTATATTATGTATTTTTAAGTGTAAATATATATCGTGTGGTTTTTTATAAAATCTGCTTTTTAAAAGCTATATAGATATTGAAATTCCATTTATTTAAAAAACTAGTTCTAAAACTAAAAATAATCAGCTGGATAGACTAAATGACGGTTTTCCTAACTATCAATATTATTACTTATAAAGATCCAGTTTACAACTATATGTCAATTCCAAGTAAAATTCCAGTTTACAACTATATGTCTAAATTACAGTTAAATAGTAGTTTTAAGCAAAATTGACATGAAAATCACTGTTTTTTAATGTAATACGTATATCTTTACGACATCAGTCATCAGAAGGTATATGTTGTAAACTGGAATTTTAGATATGCACATTATGATTCCATGTGTAAATTTTTAGATCATACGATGCATCATGGATGGGGTCTATCTACGAGTTTGATAATAAGATATTTTATCGGTAAAAAGATAGTTCAGAAACTATTATGAATTTTTTAATAGGTTACTAAATAGAAAATTGGCGCGTAAAAATAAAATAAACTAATTTTGTCACATCCGTATCCGAAAATTTCGTAATCTTAGCAAGTGGGAGAAAATCAATCAAAAAAAATCGCAGTGTTCTAAAACTTTCAAATAAACGATAACAATTCTTGTAATCAGACTTAATTTTAGTAAATTTTTAAAATGCAAACAAATTGAATTCTTAAAAAAAAGGTGGAAGGGGGAATAAAAACAATCAAGGCCAAGGCCTTGTTTGTTTTTATTCCCCTTCCACCTTTTTTTTTTGGCCTAAAGGCCAAACTTGACCTTTAGGCAAAGCCGAGGCCAAGATCAAGGACTAACATCTCTGACCACGAACATTGCAGTTATTATTTGGAAATTTTGTCGGGTATTAATAATATATATAAATATTAACTACTTTGTCAAAAATTGAAATATTTTAAGAGGTAGTATCTTTGTTTTATGAACATTAAAACTTATTGTAAATTGATTTTATAGACATTTAATGCACAAAGTATTGCCAAAAGAGCCTTGTAAGGTATACTTTGATCAGCTCCAAACATTATTCTGCACGCGTGTTCTTGTTTATTGTACAACATCTTTATTTATGTATAATTTTGACTGACCCTTGTACCATTACAATAAATCAAACAGAAATGAATAAAAAAGATATAAAACTTTTTAAATGTTCATTATTTATAAACACTTTAGTTTTTTATATAACTATAATTATATGATATTACTGTTACCTACTGTTTTTCTGCTAATAGAAGAGTATTTTCGACCTCAAATCATATATAAAAGTTCATTCATTCGGATGTATGATGTCGCCTATTCTTGCATAATTGGCGCCATTTTTTTTTGACATGAAAACCTAATAAATGGCAAAATACAAGTCAAGAATCACTTGTTAAAAAAAAGGAAAAAAAGAAGAACTGAGTAAAAAACATGTTGAGTGACCGGTGTTCATATTTTAATGATAATCACAGCGGTCATAAAAAATACAATATCTTTTAGTGGTGCAAATTTTCCCCGAATTGTATGCATATTTTACAAATGGCGAACCTTTCTATATTAGAATATATATTAAATATATGCAAATTAAATAACATACTGTTAATAATTTAAAAAATAAACTAATTAAAAAAAAAAACTAATGGATTAAATTTTGTAAAAGTTTTAAAGTCAATGAACACCTGTATTATAAATCCAGAAAATATATTAAACGGATCTTGAGGAAAGGGCATTTATCCGTAATCAAAATATTTATATAGATTGTTTTCTTAAACGAAACAGTTCCACCAAAGTTGTTAAAAGTTTAAATCATTAGTAACAAACTCATTATTCCTACCACTAAAGGTCACAAGTTTTTAAACTTTAGTTTCAAAGTATTCTGGTTAACATAACTTTTATGTTAACCAAAATATTTCCTAAAATCTTAGTTACGACTTTTCCTTTTATATATAAAGACAAAATTAAAAATTTGAAAAAATGGAATTTAATTTTCTTTTGCAGATCTGCGAATTGATTTTTAAAAAAGTATTGATTAAGTTGATACAAAAATACCAAACTGCATTTCAAGCTAAATTCAAACTAGAAGAATTGTGGTGTTGTAGTTTATCCTTGCAATAGAAAAATGATGACGATTTTAACTTAAACTTGCTTACCATACAACAGCAAATAAACATACAAACTATGCTGTTTTTACCAGTATTGAAAACTTTTAAAAAGAAGACGAGGCCGAAAAAAATACGAAAAAGTTAGCAAAGAAAAAAGAATAAAAGAATTATTCGTGCAGAGAAAATAAATAAAAAATTTAGCGTATAAAATTTTAAACATCAAAAGGAAGAAACATTTAGATGTATCGTTTAATAAAACAACGAAACAGTGATTGCAAAATACTTTTGTGCCATAAAATGTAATGGTTATTAATGAAAGGAAAACATGTTTGTCAGTACCAACTAGACTCCATATCCCCTATGCATATTTAATCTTATTCACAGTTTGTAAACGAATATTTAAAAAGTTATTAAAACGAATATTTAAAAGTTTATTGCGCTCAGAAGACGTTGAATAATAAGTGTTTTGTTTTTTAAAACGTAACGAGAGTAATTTAAAAAAGTAATATGATTACGACCATAAAAGACATTCTTTAAGCCGAAAATCACATTTTACGGCCAAAAATTAAATTGTATTACAAAGTTCGATATTTCGTCAAATTTTATAACTAAAGCTGGTAAAAAAGAATATATAATTATAGATTAGACTGTTTTATTTTCTCTAAAAATTTGGAAGTATTACTTCGAGTAATTAAAATGTTGAAAAAACTTTTCTGGTTAAAAGCGAATACGACCATTTAATTGATTGTTTACCCTTATTATTATTTTAAAAACAATTGGTTGAAACCTTCGATTTTAGTGTTTCTTGTTTCACACGATAACTTTACATTGGAGAAGTTATAGATCAGTGGTTCCCAACCTTTTCTAACCCGTTCCCCAAATTAAATATCCTAAAATCTTCATGGACCCCTTTGATTTTAAAAATTATTACAAGGTGAACATTTTAATAATGTAACTTTTATTCATAAGGATAATATTTTATTTAAGGTATTTTTGAATAGACTAGACACAAAATCAATATTTATCAATGACACAAAAATTTTTTATCTTAGTTTATGTATGATACAAGAACAGATCAGTGTGAATTCTGACACTGCTTACTAGCAATTAATATCTGAAAATTTGGTTTAGTTTTTGATAGAGCACATCTAATATCTGCATCAATATCAAGTCTATTTCTTTTTTTTGTTTTTAGAGATAGCATTGCTGAAAACCCGGCTTCACACAAATATGATGTTGAAAAAGGAATAAGGGCTTTAAGTGCAATTGATGAACACAATGGATATGAATTCCTCATTTTGAACCAGAAGTTATTTAATGGTGCTACTTTGAAGTGATCCTTAGCCGTGGTATCATTCTTTAACTCTATAAACTCTTCTTGTGCTTCCTCTTTCATATTTTTCACTCACAAGAAAATGGTGATATAATAACTTCACTGCTCAAAAGATTCATATCTGGAAAATAATTACCAAATTCAGTAATCAAATTATCTAGGTGACAAACTATTTCTGTCTTTATAACTTCAGGAAGCATGTTAACTCCAATTATGTTATTTAAACTTTGAAACATGATCAAGTTTCCATTATTAATTCTAGTCTTGTACAGTTTGAGCTTTTCAATAAATGCCTTCAGTTTATCTGAATGTGTAATAACATTAGCATTTTTGCCTTGAAGTTGCAAATTTAACTTGTTAAAATGACCTACGATGTCCACAAGATAAGCAGTTGTTATTTCAAAATTATCAAATTCAAAATATTCTACCAGTCCACTTTTCATTTGACATAAAAATTCTTTCACTTCATTTCTAAGCATGAAAAATCTTTCCAAAAAATTTCCAGCAGATAGCCATCGCACAGAAGTATAAAACAATAACTTATTGTGTTCAGCATTTAGGTCAGAGCAAAATTTTGTAAAAAGGCGAGTGTTAAGAGCAGAAGATTTTATATAATTGACCAACTTGACTAATTGATTAAATACAGTTTTCAAACTACCTGGTAAAGTTTTGGTTGCCAAAGCCTGTCTATGAATAAAACAGTGTACACCAACTACATTTGGAGCAATCTCTTTCACCCTAGTCTGTAATCCAGACTTACAACCCATTATGGCAGGAGCTCCATCAGTAGTAATTCCAAACAAATATTTCCATTGTAATTGATTGTCATTGAAAAACTGTTTTAAAATTTCCATAATATTAGCTGTTTTTGTTGTTGTTTCAAGGCAAGAAGAAAACAAAAATTCTTCTTTAAATTTGTTATTGTGAATATACCTACAATATACAATTAGTTGTGCCATTGAATTTACATCTGTGGACTCATCCAACTGAATAGAAAAATATGGGGATTCTTTAATTTCATTAATAACATTTTCTTTAATGTTTGATGAAATATCCGTTAGCCTTCGTTTGACTGTAGTATTTGATTAAGATATATTATCTACCTTCTTTGCAGCTTCTCCAAATAATAATCTAACGATTTCTTTTGTACATGGAAGTATAACTACTTCAGCCAATGTGTGAGCTTTTTTGTTCTGTGCTATTATATATGAAACTTTATAGGATGCTTCTACTATATTCTGTTGTTTGGTAAATAATCCCAGTTTTATCCAATTTGCATCTCTTCAGTGATTCAAATTTTCTTTTGAAAAAATCAGTATCTTTTGTTTGGAGATCAGGATGGCACTTATTCAAGTGAATAGCAAGCTTTGAAGGTTTCATAGAGTCATTTCCTAGTACTTTATAACAAATAACACACTGTGGGTAGCTAATGGTTTCTTTAAGCATGTAGGTAAATCCATATTTCATGTATTCATCTAAGTATGACCTTTTTTTACTTTTAGACATCTAAAGTATTTAAAAAATAATATAAAAAGCATCTATAGATAAGAGTAGTATAGTATCGAATTTTTATAGAAAATAACACAAATTACGTTCTTTCAAACAAATCAGTAAGGTTATCTTTACCATGAGATAAGATTTTAACATTTTAAATTTACGGATAAAAAATGATATTATATAGCATTTATTACTTCGTAGAGGTCCGCAAGTCCTCGTCGAATTAGTTAACGCAAATTTTGTGTAACAGCTTTCTCGCATAAATTACATTTTTAATTTAAAATTTAATTTGTTTCTTTCAACAGAAAAAAATAATCAAAATTAAGTTTCACTACCAAAAATATTTAGAATTTACGTTTATCTTGTGGTCCGCTTAAAAAGTTCTTATGGACCCCCAGGGGTCCATGGACCACCGGTTGGGAACCACTATTATAGATTAAATTTGTATCGCCAGCATACTTAAAGTAATATTGTTAAGACAAATTACCAACGCAATTTGATACTTGATATCCATAGAATTACAACCAATGAAATAAATGTATGAAAATTGAAAAAGAAATACAAAACAACATTTAAAAATTAATACTGCTAAGCACAATTTTTCATATACTTATTAAATTTATTGAAAGCAAGCATCAAGGTCAACAAATTCAAGTTAAACTATCATTATTCGTTAGTAATACCAAGTATATATATAGAAAAATACAAAATATAGGCATTACTAATATTGGTGCGATATTAATGAATATTAATAATAATATAATATAAATGGATATAAATAATATTAATGGATATTAATAAATTAATTAATAGATAAAAAAGGACAATAATTGTTCAACCTGGATTAGTTGACTTTGATACTTGCTGTCAGTCTAATAGAATGGATATTTCTTTATACCCTAAATATTATTAAAAACTTTAAGATGACGAAGTTTAATAATAATTTTTTGTTAAAAAAATACTAAATACATAAAAACATATATTATATAAAAATAATATTACTATATAAATGACAAAAATAATGTAAAAAGAATAAGCATAAAAAATATAAGGCTTGAGTATAAAGTGCATTGTTTCGCTTAAATAACTTTTTCATCAGAATCTAATCCCATAAACTCCCTCAGTTTTTTTTCATTGTTACTAAAAGCTTTTTCATACAGAAGCATATCTTCTTGTAGATTGCGTTCTTTGCAATATTCTACTATATATTTATTGCGAGTAAATCCAACCATATTTCCGAACAAAATTCTTGCCTCGTCATCTAAACTACCTAAGCGGGTAGGATTATAAAGATGATCTCGATTAGTATTTAACATAACTAAATCTAAAACCTTAAAATTAACATCATCTATCACTTGGGAATAAAAATTTAGAGCTTGGTAAAACCCTCCTCGTAATAAAACTTCCTCTTCATTTGGAAATGCTGATAAATTAGCAACATAAACTGCACATATAGTACTTACAACGCTTTGACTGTATTTTTTTCGATAAAATTCTAATAGTTTATCTTCAATATTTAATACACGAATTTTCATCAAAAACGGTACTCTCTGATGGTCCTTTTTTAATTCATCACGTACAAAATTAACAGCAACATTTGAATCAATACTGGATGACCATAAACCTAAAGGAATCGATATATACCTTTTTTCAATTGGCTGAAGCATGAGATCTTCAAAAACCTTGAAACTATCTGGCGGAATTGCCATCCCACGATAAACTGTACCTTCAAATGATTGATACTTAGGAAACTTATGTACATAATTAAAAAGATCAATGTTTATTAACTCAATTAAAAACACCACACTTCTAATCTTTTCTTCAAAGTTTACTGATGAATCATCTCGGAATATGTTATCAGCTATTTTGAAGATTTCTCTAAATCCTTCAACAGTTGTATATGTGTGTATAACACTGAATTCTTCTTTAAGAGGTAAATCAGCAGTGTTTTCTTCAACATTACACCAATTACGTTTACGTTCAAATATTTTAGATAAGGGATGAGATTTTATATTTTCAATGTGAGCATCCTGGGTAAAAAAATTTCTCATGCTATTCATAAACTGTTCAAACAAATTCCAGTTTTCGCGAATGTAAAAAATCGATTTCCTAACAGCATCCATGCGTTTATGAACTAAATCTCCTTGATAAAAACAGACTAAATCATTGAGATTAGAGCTTTTGCATAAATCATTATTGCTTGTATCTACAAATCTTTCTGAACGATTAACTTGATCAGACATTTTCAGCCTAAAACTGTATTAAACAATTAATATTAATGCAATGTAAAAACACTGTACTAATAATTTGTAAAAAAATTTAAATAATATAAAAAGTATAAATTTAACAAAAAACAAAAAATAATGTCAATATAAGATAGCTTCTTTTACACAAACACAAAACAAAATGGTGTCCAAAAACTTGTATTGAAATATTGTTAATTGTCTAAATTTATACTACTGTTTATCGAGACAAATTAATGTCTCCTAGGCTTTTTGACCTTTCCATTTAAATTTCATAACCTTGACTTTAAGTGTTCTCGCTTTATTCCAATTAACTCCTTTCTTGAGTTTTACACTAAAGTAACTATTAGAGACTTAAATTTTTTTGTTAACGTAAATGAAGCCATTGCTATGTTAAAGATTAACTATTTTTTTTTTTTAATTAATTTTATAATTTTATTATTCTATTATATGGTTATGATGCTGATAATCAAAGAAATAATAATCAATGAAAATTTCAATTAAATATTAAAAAAAAAAGGTTTGATTAAAAGAGTTCAAGAACACTTTAGTAAAAGAAACACTCTTAAATATATATATATATATATATATATATATATATATATATATATATATATATATATATATATATATATATATATATATATATATATATATATATATATATATATATTCGGTATATTATTAATATAAATCATAAATTAGCCCCACACTTTTTTATAACTGTATTATATATATATATATATATATATATATATATATATATATATATATATATATATATATATATATATATATATATATATATTAAATTTAGGGCAACATTGAGTTCAAAGGAAACTTATATATATTTATATATATATATATATATATATATATATATATATATATATATATATATATATATATATATATATATATATATATATATTTATTTAATGCAGTTATAAAAGAGTCTGGCGCTAATTTATGATTTATATTAATGATATACCATATATATAT